TATTACTAATAGTTTATAATAGCGCCCTTACGACAGACAAATTTGGTGGTTAAAGCGAGCTTTTTTCAACTGTGCTTGTGTGAATTGCCTTGAAAAGGCAATTCATGCATTTGTTACTTCTAGGCTTGATTATTATAATGCTCTGTATGTTGGGATGTCCCAAGCCTCTCTGTCTTGTCTTCTGTCTGTCTCACCTGCTTTCTCACCAATATACATAATCCCAATTCTGCGCTTTCTCTTTTGGCTTCCTGTGCTGTACAGGATCACTTTTAAGATTTTACCTTTTATTTAAAAAGCCTTGCACAGTTTTGCCCTTTCCTATATTTCTGACCTTTTTTTTGTTGGCATTTGCCTGGTTGATCTCTCCGGTCTTCTAATCTGCTGCTCTTAAAGATGCCTAAATAAAGGCAGAAAAGCTATGGTGACCGGGCTTTTGTTGTAGCTGCACTTAATCTGTGGAATGTTCTTCCATTTGAACTCCATTCTGCCCGTCCTCGCTGCCTTGCGATCGCTCCTTAAAGCCTATTTATTTAAAGAGACATTTATTACCAGCACTGATAAGGGTTTTTTTTTTTTTTTTTTTTTTTACATTTTTTTGTATGTTTACCTTTATTCATTAATGTTGTTTGATTTTATTTAATGCTGTTTCATGTGGTTCCTTTGCTTTTATTATGTATTTTCTTCTATGAAGCACTTTGTAACTGTGGTTTAGAAAAGTGCTTTATAAATAAATTTTACTTTCTTATATTGGCTCCTTAATAGAATAGGTCAGAGAGTGTTATGGCATGTTAACCTTATTGTGGAAAAACACCAAATGTAAGAATAAAAAGAAGCATTACTTAAAGCTGCATTTATTTGTTGTTTTTAGCAGAGAACAAACTGTATAAAAAGACATTTTTTCACCATTAACTGTAGTTGTTATGGTGATTGCTAGCAAACATTTGCCTAGTTACACACAGGATATCAAACAGTCCTTATTTAAACATACATAGTTTTTTTTTAATGAGTTAATTAATGTTAGCAGGAGCCTTGTCAGGTTTGGCGTGTACAGATGCCAAACAGAGGTTGTGGTGAGCTCAATTAGAAAACCAGACGAACCGAAGTAGCGACAAGTTCTTTACTTGTTGTAAGCAAAACAACTAACACAAAGTCCAGGATATCAATCAGGTCGATAAGACAGTCCAGGGTCGGCGCCGGTAAACAGGTATAGCCAGGGGATCCAAACTCGAGGTCAAGGGGGACAAAAATCAGAAAGTCGGCACACTGCAGGCGAACAGAATCTGGGAGGGCATAGACAAAACACGGTGGTCAAAAAACGGCAATCCAAGGTCAGAAACAGAGAGTCAGGCAAGGTATAAATGCTGGAGAGTCAGAGCTGGGGTCTAGAACAATCTGGCAGCGTCCTGGTGGGAAGACGCTGCCTAAATAGAAGTAAAAAACAGGTGCAAACAATAAGGAGCAGGTGAACTAATGATGATTAAATAAAAGGGCCAAAACTGAGGTGAAACAAAACAGGAAGT